TGCTTGGGAGCAGATCATCAGTTATGAATATCTACAAGTGCACTGCAGAACAGACACAGGTTGTAGGCTTTTCCCCTTGAGAAATTCTGGATCAGCTCACAAATAATCCTCAATGATCTCTGCTGCTTTTAGCAAATAACGCCCAAGCAATAGCAGCCATAGTGCTGGGTTCCTGCCCTGTTTCTCACACGTCCTGCTTGCTTCAACATCCACAGCTAAAAAACTAAAAAAAAAGAAAAAAGGAAAGGGTGATTTCCTTTCAGCTTGGCTCTTCCCTGCTTTGATGGCTCACTGCTTCCTCTACCATCTGGACCACCAGCCAGAAGTGATGTTAATGATGTTATAAGTGCCCATCTCTTTGCTCCTCTTTCCTCCAGGATGCACCATAACAGCAGCAGAGCAGCTCACATGTGCTCACCGGATGTCAAACAGTTCTGTTTCATTTTCTGGAACACAGTGCTTACAGCTCCACAAAGAGCTGATTTTGTTTAAAAGTAGGTAAAGAGGAGAGGAAAAGGTTAAGGAAGCACCTATGATCCATAAAACTGGTATTATTTGAGAATTCAAAACCTGAAGCATCGAGGAAAGAAAAAACAGCATCGCCTCAAAAAAAAAAAAAAAAAAAAAGAGAAATAAGCAGAAATAATTCACTTCAGGACCCACTGATTACAAAACAAACACAATGAAGATTTGCACAAAATTGCTCCAGACTATAAGCTTCCTCCACTGGCAAAATACAGATGTGTACAGAAGTCAGGAAAGGAAAAAAAATAAAGAGCAAGGTAGGGCTACAGACAGTGCACAGGACTCAGCCAAGCATGCAGGTGATCAAAGAGCAAAACAAAAGAACACACAAACATTTCTTGGTGCATGGAGGCAAGCAGATATCAATGTAAGCAAAGAGGAAAAGTCACAGTTATGGAGTAGAGCCACAGAAATAGGATCTCTATACTGTTAAGGAAGTGCAGCCCAACGTGGTAATGCTGCTCCTCTCACCCAGCAATGGCTTCATGCAGCAGGGGGCAAATTCCAGCCCACAGCCAGCCTCCTGCAGGGCCCAAAAGCCCTCCCAAAGCACTTTCCCCATAGCAGTTTGCACAGGAAAGTATCCAGGTGGGTTTAGATCTCTCCAAAGAACTCTCCCACCTCTCCGACAGCTCTGCACCATCCGTAGGGCTCTCCCAGCAGCTCCCAGTCTGCCTGGAGCTGGAGAGCCCAGCACTGGGCCCAGTGCTCCAGGTGAGATCTCCCTAGGGCAGAGCAGAGGGGAAGGGAATCTCCGTTGCCCTGCTGACCACTCTCTCTGCAGCACACCCCAGCGTCCCACTGACCACCATGAAAATGCCACCCTAATTGTAGAATCCCCTCTTCCTCCAGAATCCCCATTCTTGGGGATGTTCACAACTGGACAGCACCACAAGCAATTCAAGCTGATTCCAAGGTCGGTCTTGCTTTAAGGAAGGGATTGGACAAGGTGACCCAGAGGTCCCTTCCTACCTAATTATTTTATGATGCCACACAAATCTGCTGCAGGAGCTATTCCCAAGGTCGAGATTGTGCCGCGCCCTCCCAGCAAGGAGTTATCATCGTGTAAATACTTTTATTGCTGTTTTGTGAACCCACATTTGTTTATTGGCCTAAGTCACACCTACACAGCTACATTTTCATCCCAGTTATTAAGACTTTGAAACCAGCACCAGTTTTCAAGAACAGAGACTAGCATCTAACAAGCACTTTCCAGTCACATTGTACCTCATGAACATTCTGGAAGGTTCAGGTTCTCTGCTAACTCCCTCCTACAGCTCTGAAAAGAAGAACAATTCCCTAAACTCAAGATTTACAGAGTAAGCACATTCTGAAGTCAACATACACGAAGTGAGAGCTCATCTCTTCACGATCTCCCAGTTTCAGTGCTCACCTCACTCAGAACTGCCCCTAATTCCCAGATAGATTTGACAAAATAACATCTAAAACCCTCTTTTTCTTTTCTTTCTGCACCAGACTTAGCACAAATCACAGATCCTTCCTAAGAGACAGAGTGACTGTAAGCAAAAAGGAGTTCCAGTGTAATTACAATCACCTTGTACAAGTAACAGACTCCAGGTCTTCCCCAGTACCTGTGCCTGCAGTGGGATGAGATGCATAGGGTGAAACAACAGCAAGACGAACAGTGGGGGAAAGAAAAGAAATAACACTCTAACTTGACACATCTGTTAGCAGAAGTCCATCTTTCTCCTGCCTGCCCCAAAACCCATTTCCAGCTCAGCCAGGGTCTCTCTCTTCTCTGCAAGCTCAGTTCTTCACCACACAACTCCCACACTCACTTAGCCCAATGACTATTTCACCAACACCGTGATGCAAAGGCTGATTTACAGGAGCATTACCCACAGAAACGTTATGTCAGCGTAACAAAAGCACTTCCTCACACTGAAGACCTCCTACAGAGGACAGAGAGAAATGAAGGAAAAAAGAAAAATAAGAGCAGCAGGAGAGAAGAATTCGAGTTCTGAGTCATTGAATCTGATTGCTACTTGTGTATCAAGGAAGACTTAATCATCCCCAAGGCCTTAGCTGGAGTATGCACACAAGGGGATGTTATTAGACAAATCTGAACCATCGTGACACGTTCAAAGTAGCAGGAGAAAGGAGAACATTTCTTGAAACATACGGTTTTTTGAAACAAACATCCCAGGAACAGCCCTGGATTTCACTCTCACAATCTGCTTTCACTTCAGGATACCACCAATGAAGCACTGTTAAAGAAAAGGAAGCAACCCATACAGGAACCAGGCCACAGTTTCCAGGTTCTACTGCTAGAGGAATAACATTTAATTCCTCACTTGAATCTTCCCTGAATTAATACAGCAAAAGAAATTTAATAAGCACAGCGTTACGAAGACAAAGTAGCCTCTAGCAGGATGATGTCTTATTAGGTGCAGCAGGATGCAATGTACCTCTCTGTCTGCCTCACCAGAGAAAACAGTCTTTTGTATTTCCTCCCCCAAACTACCTGAGCCAACCAGGACTGGGGCAGCCAGGAGACTTCCCCTAGCCCCCCCATAACAGCCAGGGCAGCTCTGCCTCCCAGATCCCTTTCTTCATCTGCTGGTAGCCATGGATGTCAGGGGTGGGCTTTGGCTCTGCCACGTGTCTGTGTTCCCAGGTCCTCTGCACTGTCTGAGCTGAAAGCAGCATTCTGAGGAAGTGGGAAAGAGATAAGATTGATAGGGGGAAAAAAAGATGCTCCCATTTCTCTCCTACCCACGTTTTTCTCTGCAGTTCTCTCTTTTTGCTCTGCTCAAGTCTCCTTTTTTTGTTTAAGCTCTGAAAGCTCAAAAAAAAAAAAAAAAAGCGCATTTCCTACAGAAAACCTGAAAAATGAAACCAACTCAGTCCCTGGCCGCTTAAATGCTTTCCACAGAGAAACACATCCACTCATTACATCCAGAAATGTAAAACTGACTCAGCCTTTAATGAACTATTTAAATAGGTACCTGAGGTGTCTTAATTGGCTTCTAACACCTAAGTGTTCTCATTAACCAAGCCACTTTCCTAATTAGCATCGCTGTCAGCCACACAGCCTGCTCCACGAGTGACTGCAAGAGATATCCATCGCAAAGAGCAGAAACTGCTGCCCCAGGGGGAAGGTAACACACAGGTATGGATGTTGAACCGAGTAAGAAATGCTGCACCACACCTGTCCGTGGGCAGACAGCATCCAACTGCACCTCCGGCATTGCGGGGACCCACAGAGCATTGGGGAACACAGCAGGCAGCAGAGCAGGCCCGAATTCCTCAGCCAGGAACTGTCAGGGAGAGCACATCACAGGCAGAGAGCAGCCCAACACCTTCAGTCACACGCACAGGGCTGGCTTCCAGGCAACGGGAAATAAAGGGGGGTGCTCCTGACATCATGTTGTGACCCCTCAGCACACAGGGGGCTGTAAGGGCCCACAGCACGGCACAGGGGAGCCCCGAGGCCACAGAGAGGCGCGCTGAGGCCCCCGAAAGGCACAGGAGGGCCGTACAGAACGGCTGGGAGGGCCGTGCGGGATTCCCCCGCCGTGACACACGCAGCCCTCGGGCCCCAACGGCGCTCCCTCCCCGCGCGAAGAGAGGAAAGGAGCGCCGGGCGGAGGCCTGAGGCCTACACGGGACCTGAGGGGAGAACGGGACTCCGAACCGAGCCGGGCCGAGCGGAACCCAGCCGAACCGAAGGGGCACCGAACCGAGCCGGGCCCAGCACCGCGCAGCCCGCCCCGTTCCGCCGCACGTTGCTAAGAGACCCCGGCGGGCTCGCACCGCACCACAGCGCGGAGGGGGCAGCGGCCGCCGCCTGAGGGCCGCGGGGCTCCGGGAGGGCTCCGGCCCCGCGCTCACCTCTCGAACAACAGCCGCACGGCGAAGATACCGAGCGCCAGCGGGAAGGCGGAGAGGACGTGGCTCGCCCGCGGGTACTGCAGCCCGCCGTCCGGCTCGCCGGCCAGGTCGGCCCACGTCACGTTGTGAGGCAGCCAGAAACGCTCGTTCCAGAACCAGGCCCGCATCGCCGCTACCGCGGCTGCCGCCATTTTCCGCCGCCTCCCTCCGCCTCGTCCCCCCTCCCGCCTCGGCGGCGGCCACCGACAGCGGGCGGAGCTCCGCGCCTCAGCCCGCCCGCTTCCGCCCGCCACTCAGGGCGCATGCGCAGGCGGCGCTGCGGGGCGGGGCTGCCTTGGCCACGCCCCCCTTCGCGGACCGTTAACTCGGAGCATGCGCAAAGCGCAGCCCGCGCGACTCGCTCTGCCCGCAGCCCTCACTGAGGAGAATGGGCGGGAACCGCCCGCTGCCGGGGCGTTCCTACAAAAAAAAAAAAAAAAAAGTCTGATTGTTCTTCTTTAAAAAGTCTCAAGATTGTTTTATGAGCCCCCGAGAAGCGGCCTTCAGCCTCGCTGCCACAGGGCAGCCGTTCAGCTCTCACATGAGGCGTTCACAGTGAGACAACAAGGGTTCGTTTTATTAATACAGACGTGGTTTAGCATTTAAGTGCAGAACAGAGAGGTTCACACATCGAAAAAGTTGAAAACGATCCCAGTAGCTTTCAAAGCTTTCAGAAAATTATTTCAACGTGATGGGCTCGGGACTGAGGGTTACCAAGGAACAAAGGCTGTATTCTGCTTCGTAATTACGTTCTAAAGCTCTCCATAAAGGTACTCAGCACCAGCTTCCCTGTGCGTGGTAGCAGAGATCCATCTGTCCCATAATAGCCCTTCTGGCATCCATCCAGCTGAGAGTAAATTAAATGGCCCATTGAGCACTCAACTACTACAGTAACCAATGGGTCCAAGGAGGTGGCTGTTCATAATATCTGCACTTTTTTTCAGTGGAACAAGTTCAGCACTAATTTCCCTGTGAAAACGTCCACTGAACGGTCGGAATCCTTGTATCTCAAGGACTCACAGGTGGCTGAGATTTAACCAGAACAAATCTCTGTGAACAGCAGCCCTGCAGCTTTACTATCATGTAAGTGGGGACGCACTGTAAAGCGCAGCTGCATCTCCTGATAAACAAGGAGTTGAAACATCCAATACATCCCATATCCATGACAAATAGCTTCCAGCCAAAGTTGCTTGGTGATCTGAATTTAAGAGCAAGTAGATGTTGTTAAGAAAAGGTAAGGATTTGGAGGATAAAGAGAAGATGCACTTGTACATCAGCTTCCCTAGCTTTGAGATCTCCCTTTACTTGTTCAAGGCTTAGTTCTCCCTTAAAAACAACCAGCCCGTAGGCTGTACATGCCATGCCACACAGCTGCTAATGCATGCTAGCCCAACAGCAGGCTGTTCCGTCTCTGTGCCACAAAGGAGCACATTTGTTTGCTGCTGCAGAGCACTCACTGCATTTTCACTACACCCAAACCTCGAACCGAAACTACCCCAGGTTTGAGTGAAGACAACTGCAATACACGGCAGCTGTAAGAAAGAAAAAATTAAACTAAACCAACTCTGGCTTGTCCTCAGCTGCCTGAGAAGCAGCTGAAGCCAGAAACGGGAGTGTGAGATACCTGCGTGTCCTTCCTTAATTTTGCCCACCCTTTTCTAAGCCCTCAGCCTTGCAAATCTGCTTGTGACGACCACAAAAAGCGGACCCACAGTGTCACCTAGTGGCACCAAAAGTCACTGCCTGGCCTCCAGCTGCAAGTAAACCCCGGGATTTCACCCATCATTTCCCACCTCCTTTTAAAATGGTGCTGCTTTGTGAAACGAGCATGAATGCAGTCTTCAGACCTATTTTTTTTTTTATGTAAATGACCAAACTTTATTGAAGTTAGCAGGACTGTTAAGAAAGCAGGATATTTTACACCTCAAATATAGTTAAGAGTTAATTCTCCTGTAACTACAGTACAAATAAAAGCTAATATAAAGGGATATCTTCCTTCCACCATTCAGATTCCATTATTCGTAAAATAAATGCAGTCAAGTTTTAAAATGTACTAAGCTTCAATGCTAGCAATCAGAAAGTTTCTGGTTCATATGGTTTTATTCCAAAGATTTGCAATGCAGCAGAATTTCGCAGCCACAATGAAAAAAAAAATTATGGCAGCTTGATACAAATAGGATTTCAAAATTGTTGAAAGGCCCTAAAAATGTTATGTGCAGTTTTAAATGAATTATAATGAACTCTAAGTAAACAAAAAACCATTCAAAATGCATATAAAAATGCAAAAGTAATGCCCTGCAGGCTCCTGCAAAAAATGTTGACTTGCCATCAAGGAGTTCTGTCAGCACAGCATTTGGATAAGCACTAAAATACATTTGTTCCAGCAGTGGGCACGCTATTCCAGTTGCACAGAGAAAAATGGAGTATTCATCTTCAATTGATCATAGGCAGTTTTGGAAGTTACGTTCTGCTCAGTTTAAGATGCTTTAGTTGTTGGACTCCAAGGCCAAAAAATGTTTTTATTATAATAATTAAAAAAAACTGTGCCCTTAACATGTATTAAAGTGCATTTAGTTACCATTTTTAAAGCAGGTCGGAAAGTCCCTTTGAAACTGGTCCCTAAGCACTGCAGTAGCATTTTGTAGTGGTAAAAGTAGTGTATTACAGAAAGCCTGTTCCATACCAGCACAGAGTGCAGGTTAGTGAAACAGGTCCTAGAGTTCCAAAAGGGTAAGACAATAGGAGTTCAGAAGAGCTCTGTTCTCATCCCGTGGTCAGAGGTTACCTGTCAAAGGCATCCCACAACCACAGATACTCATCTCCATGCACTCAGACATTCCTTCAGGCTTCCACAGTACTTTTCTGGCTGAGATAATTTGTATATATGATTCCCTTAATGTTGATGTGCAGTATAGCATCGCTTTCATACAGGGCAGCTGTTTGTTAAAGCTAAAAACACCAATTAAAAAAGGCCCAGCACCTTGAAGCAAGTTTTATTATAAAAGGCCTATTTATTCTTCATCATCATCTTCATAGTAACGGTTCCTTTTGATCTGTTCTTCCACAGATAGATCTTCCATATCTTCACCCTCCCAGAAACCAACATCTTGGGATTTGCGATTCTGCTCAGGAGAAGATTCCTTTGCAGTTACATTGGATAAGCTGGAATGTTTCGGAGAATTTGGTTCAAGGAATTCTTCATTTGAGGTTTGCTGCTCTTCCACAGCATGTTCTTCCTCATCTGTCTCTGCATTCTCCTGGCCATTTTCTACAAAGTTGTGCTCTGCTGTTTTGATACCAGGCAATTCCCGCTCTTCCTCTACATTTTTCTCCTCAGCATTCTGCACGTTCCTATTCTCAATCTTTTCCTTTTGCTTTTTGTCTACCACAACCTCTCTCTCCAGTTCCTCACTTCTTTTCAACACGTCTCTCTCTGCCTTAGAAGGAGAGGATGAATTGTCTGTTTTATGGCCTTTCACAGATACTGTTCTAAACGAGGCTGCTACCGTAAAGGGACGACTTCTCTCCTTCAGTGAGGAAGATCTTCTTAACTTTTTGAGATCCAGATCCACATCCTCCAACACATCTGGCTTGGTACTCTCTTCTTCTGGGGGCCATTTGGGTTTTAATACTTTGATGCCCTCATCCAAAGTGCTTCCTTGAGTACTCTGGTCAGACGGAGGCGGCCAGGCAATCCTAAGCTTTTTTGTTTCTGCTGGTTTCTCTTCTCTTTCAGGCAAAGCTGAAGCTTTTGCTTCCATAGTTGCTGCCAGAACTCCTACTTTTGCAATTGGGGCATCCTCTACTCCTGGGTTTTGAGGACTCTCAGTTGCATTTACACCATGGAGAGTTTTCTCCAGGGACTCCTCGCATTCCGTTTTGCTTGACCATAATTCCTTATGCTGTTTGTGTCCAAAGCCTTCATCATAATTACCTTTAGCTTTGAAGAGCTGATTGAAGTGAGGCTTGCAGTAAATATTCCCACGCAGAGATGCATATGTCCCAAGACTGTACAGAGAAATACAAAATCAGGTGTTAGCATTCTGTTTTTTAGCTGCTGAGACAAGGGTATATTTTAGTTACGTTTGCTGAAAAAATTAAATTCCTTCCAGTAGGTTTAGAGAAGACAAGTTTGCAGTTTTAATGTGCTTGCATCACCCTCTTTTCAAGTATCAGGAGGTGGACACCACATTTTTCTGTCATAAAGTGACATTACAAGTTACAAAATACACCACATTAAGTGCAAAGGCAACTGGCAGAGCTAGGACTGCATTACCATGCTCCTATTCAGTTCACTGGATTATAGTTGATTTCACTTCTGCTAAGCCTGGACAGCATCTTACTCAGCTTCTGAGAATAGGAAAGCCACACTTCCTCGAAGGCAGCCAAATGGAGCAGCGTGTTTACCTGAGTTTACTGTTGCAATAGGAACAGCGGAAACAGCTGATGTGGAACACCTGCTGGTTGGCAAGGAGCCTTTCCATTGGGTACACTGTCTTCTGACACCCAACACAGGTTTCCTTTGCTGGCAACTGAAACTTCTATGGGAAGAAGAGAAAGTTTGTTAGCTGGAAAATGAATCAACTGCTAGGAGACTTGGCTTGGATTCACACACAGCTTTCACAGTTGTCAGAAGAACGGCAGGATTTCTGCAACCTCAATGCTAATTCTGATAGAGCAGGTTCTGGTGGGCAATGAGCAAGGAAGAAGCTACAGCAAGCCTACAGGGATCGGTGCGGTTTTTCAGCCAAGGTTGTGCCCCAGTGAGCTGGGCATCACAAGCTGAGAAGGAACAATGGAAATGCTCGAACCCAGCTGTAACTTTGACAGTTCCCAGAAATCTAATCTGTTTCTGCAATCTCATTTTTTTCTTTATGGGAAAACAATGAAATATTTAAGTAGATACAGTCATTACAAGACTTCCCAAAATAAAGAAAGTCACAGAGAAAAAGATCTGAAAACCTCAACATAAAAGGTTGAGGCTGGGGAGAGAAGAGGAACAGTGCAGACCGCCCTCAGCAGTTTGAAGTCCATTTTTGCTAAATGCTCTACTCTTTTAAAGAGGAGAAAATAGCCTCAGTGCAGATGTGGGCAGCAGGAAATGCTTCTGACTTCATTTGTAAGCAATTCCAGTTCTACAGCAAAAAAAAAACTGTAGTCGGGTTTCAGGACAAACAGCCCTCAAACTTGCTCAAGACTTAAAGCTGAGCAGGGCTTTGAGGTTAAAAAGCTAAAACTGTTTATGTAGTTACCAAGAGAATTTCCTGAGAATTTAGTGCAAGGGTAAACTTAAACACTAAGGAGTCAAGCATCGCTGCCCCGCTATATGGGAACAGTTTCAGACTTTGTTTTCTGAAAGCATCAAGGAAGCAAGCACATTGTCCACGAAAAAGGTCACTTGGTGCCATTCACTTCTCGGAATCTGTTATGGTTGGCCAGTAGGAAAGATACCTCCAAGAAAAAAAAATAAATTGCAGGTGAGAAACAGGCATTCTCAGGCTGCTCACTGACAGCAACTACTTCAGCAGCAGCACAGGAGCACCTGAGCTCCATATCCATGGGCTTGCATAGAATATTGATAGTACAGCATTTAAAAACTTTTTTTGGACACAGAATTACCTGCTACAAACTTATTGAAAAGCTCCAAGGAAAAATATTGTGGCTAAAGAAAAAAAAAAAACAGGAAGACTGCAGGAAAACATAATTACAGCAATTCATTTATAACAGACAAGAAACAATGGTTAGGCAATGAAAGTTACAATATGCAAGGGACAGATTGCTGAAGACAGAGCCAGCTGAAGTCCGTTTGTCACAGCCATAAAATTTGCTGCCAATTTAATTCCAGTTCAATAGGTATTTCAGCTTTTTAAGGCACTGCTTTAAGCTACAGTAGATTACAGTTGTAATTACAACGACAACTAGACCAACAAAAATTCAGAGTTGGTTTTGAAAAGACCCACAATCCCTATGTGCTGCCAAAACTGCCTATGAACTCTGAATCTCGTGTTGCTAAATGAAATCTCAGAAAATGAGAGTTCACCAATTCAGATAAAACTCTGACCATCCTCTTTTGCCACAGGAAGCAAGGCAGCAACAATTTACTTGCCCATCAAAAAGTGACCCCAAGAGCTCAGTTTTGCAACATTACATTAGAGTGCTGGCATGTGCTTCTGCAATGTGCATCCTCATCTAAGAAGAGGAACTTACTTGTATAACAATGAGCCCTGTGTCTGATGGTGAGGTGTTTTGGGGTGTGAAGAGAAAGAAATTCTTTTCCAGGCATACTACAAATAGGAGCTACAGGAGGAAGGTGAGGCCCAATAAGTAAAGAACTTGAGAGAAAGCTGAGAGTTGAGCTCACATTAGGAGGGAAGCAGAAGGCAGGAGTAGAGATTAGGAACCAAGAACAGGAAACAGAAGCTGGAAAAGACAAATAGGAACCTTAAGTGAATAAACAGCATCTAGGTTTCTATCTGAGCAGCGCAGCATCAAAAGCAGTAACAAGGTAGAGGACTAAAATGGTTATAATAGGAAGAGATTGCAGAGGACCAAAATACATAGCTTGCATGTACCTTGTATGCTTTCACAGATAGATCACAAAAACATTACAGGCAGCTCTAATTTCTTATGCTAGCATTTATACCTCTGAACACTAAGAATCCACATCTCACTGGTCTTGCTTAGATCAGTGCTGTTCCTCTCCAAGATGGGGAAAACAACAAAAGCACACTTGTTTCCTCAGGAGTGAGCCAGGAAGCCTGTGGCAGCCCAGGGAATAGGCATCCTAACTCCAGACAGCACATGTGACAAGTGCAGTGTGATCAAAACGTTCAGAACTGCTGTCTGCATGGCTAATAAGATTAGCAAATACATTCCTACCCAAGAAGTGCTCCATCTGCTTTAGAGCCCCTGCTAAAGGAAATCTAACATTGGAGATTTGTTAATGAGAATGCCACACTTCATTCTCTGTGGAGTCACTCACCATTCACCTCTGATATTAAATTTCTACCAACTGCTGTTGCTTTGGGAACAGCTGGAAGAGGAGCATGGAGAGGCAGGTCCTGGCCTACAGGAGGCTCTCAGGTTCAGGACCCGAGTGCCAACATCTAGGAGCTCTGACTTCATAGGAGGCATAGACAAACCCTGGCAGGATCTGCATCCCTGCTCAAACCCCTTTTTCCCCATTGAACAGGAACAGGCTGCCTCTGCACAGGGCAAACCACTGCAACAGCAGCAAGCTGTACACAGCTCAAGCTTCATATCTGAAGAACAGAAGTTTTGAGATGCTTCTCCATTCAGCACTGAAGTTCCCTCACAGTCAGATCAGAGATTAATACAGTTACTTTGCTGACAGATTGGTTGAATTAAGGCTTTTCACTATTAAAAAGAGAAGAGTTGTTTCTAACTGTTGCCAGTGTTTGAGAATAAATAGCTCCTTTACCTTCACTGTTTTTGGCAGAGATGCATCTGTCTGGCCAAGTGATTTGGAACCAAAGTTTTGCTGTTTTGTGCTGACAGGCTTCTGAATTTCTGTCTCACTCTCCAGGTTTTGTCCAACTAAGGGAGGGGAAAAGAGGAAGAAAAGATCAATAGAGTAACATGAAAACCATGGAAGGTTTACGCTGATAAGGCCAAATAGCAATTCTACCAGCTAGGGGCTAAAATGTTTGTTGCTATTAAACTTTTTGATCTAGATAAAGCAAATACATTTAAACGTGATCAGTCTACTCACGTGTCAGAATAGTTAAGTTGATACATTACAGAAACTTACATACAGAGATCCAACACCTAACTGTGCTGTCATTTCTGCAAAGTGCTCTCACATGGCCCTGAATTCGGGTGTAAATCTAATGCAGCATGAGAAGGACTTAACAGAATGGGAACTGTCTACCTCTGGTCAGTGCCAAAGGTATTTGGTAGTTGTGCTGCATTAGCAGGTACATTCAGCCTTGCACAGGACAGACTTCTGGTGTGAGAAAAGCGTTTATTAGGTCAAATTTATCGTTTGACAGGAGCAGTCCTAAGCAGCCTACCAACAACTGATGGGTAAGAGGGAGCACTTGTCCTCATTCACACATCCTACTCTTGCTGAGGCAGAAAAATGAGTGCTTACCATTGCCATCCTCTGAAAGACTGGAGTGGAAAGACAGGCTGTTCTCACCTACAGAAACCTGCAAGAGAACGTTGGGCAATGAGCACCCACAGCCTTCAGAAGCCTGAGGATCATGGCCCAAGTAACACAGAGTGAACAGCATTAACACTCAGACAGGAAGAGACTGGCCATACTAATGGACACACAAAGCTACTTTTTTGTTTTGTAAGGCCCAAGACAGAGTCCAGCTGACTGTCAAGAACGTTCAGTGCTTGCTACAAGGCAGATATTCTCACAATTACAGCTCTTGCGACATTCAGATCATCTGCTGTAGTGTTCACACAAACACTGTTTTTGTTTTTCCCCCCCAAACACCTGCAGCCTGTATGTCCTTATCTCTTAGTCATTAGAAAGCCTCTCTGGTTTTGCTGATGCACTTCCTAGTTCTTACTGAGAAAATCCTTGGCCACCAAGCAATACACATTTACTGGAAATCTCATGGCTCCCTCCAACATTTGACACATCTATGATACGTAAGCATTCAGCAAAGACGGTGCTTTCCAAAACAAAACAAAACCCTAATAACAACAAAAAAAATCCATGAACTTCTACAGTTTTTCTAAGAGGTAGTTATAAATCGGTTTCAGATACTGAACGCATTACAGATAAAGCACTTGATGTAGAGTTGTTAAATTTGGTACTATTGCTATCAAATAGCTCTAAGTAGCTACACTGAGAAACTAAACTGCTGTAGCAAGATTAATGGCAGGTCATCATTAATTCACTTTAACGACTGAATGGTCCATTGCAGGCAGCTGACATTTGCAAATTAAGGAGGTAACAAAAGAGACAAGTTACATAAATTAACACGTGTTGTTCTACTGACAAAGTAACGAACACTGGTGCACTGGGAAGTGCATCAGCACGTTCTGCGGGTGTTAGAGTCACACCTATCTGATTTCTAAATCTGTCATGGATTTAATGTAAAAAATGGCAGAGAAAGTTAACAGGTTTCTTTTGCTCTCTTTTTGCCTGAAGATTCCTACTGCTGACATTCATACCAGTAGTTTTAATTAGGCTTATTTCCAAATTTCATCATGCCATTTCAAACGGACAATCCCGATTCCCAAAAAATGCACTCTTCAGTTTCCTTATTACACCTGGACTCCTCAATAAGTAACTTAGCCATTCCAGCTGAGTACAACCACTTTTATTCAAATCTTCCATACAACAGCAGAAAAGTATTCTGATTTCACAGGTGTTCTTTTAATTAACTCACCTTTTAGCATAAGCAGCCTCAACCAGTAAAACACAGAGCTGCTCAGCTGTCAGTAACGAACAGCTGAAAGCAACAATTTGGCTCCTGGCCCAAGGAAGGCTGGAAAGCTTTAAAAGCCCTCCTGGCATTAGGCTGCCACGTGTTCAGAACGGTTTGAATACACAGTACCCCAATTATTATTCAGCTACTTTTATCCCGTCTGCTATCCCAGTTTAGTACGCAAATGGTTGAGCGTGCTTTATTATCTCTGTATTCAGAGAGTAATTTAGCCTCAATTTACAGCTGAAGCTCAAAAATGGGAACAAACCCAGACTGGCACTCTCTGCTACCTTAACCAAAAATGTAGCTGCTAAAGAAGAAATGGTGACAAAGTCTCCTTTACATGCATCACATCACACAGAGCTTTTCATCTTTAAGTTGTATTAAAAAAAACACCTACTTGTTAGGGAGTATGACACAAAAGTTTAGGTGACTTCACCATAATCAAATATTAACAGTAAAGTAAAAGAAAACCAACCTCAAATCAGAGGTCTCAGTTCTCATCAGCTGCTGAAGCCACTAAAAAATAAGTATGACAACCAAGGGTTCTGCCATACTAACTCAGGTCATTACTGGGAAATCTGCAAGAAAACTTTAAGACTTGTCTCTAGATGTTCTTTACAACTTCAAAAGTCTTCAAATGAGATCTGCTAGCTTATAATGTAGATACAGATACTAGATTAAAAAAAATAAGGAATTCTGCAGGTATATTGTCACCTGCTTCGATTCAGTTTCTAAATAGCATGGAACAAACATCTCAGCTGAAACTCAGCAATTTGTTCCACTTACAGTGAAGTCCTTGATCTTCACCAGCATGAGCATCTTACCTTCTCCCCATCCTGATAGGAAATGCAGTCCTCAAAACTTGGTGGCATATTCTCCTTCTGCTCAGATTTGTAATTCTTGATTTCATTTTCACTGGCTTGAATCTCATTCTATAGAATAAAGCACTTGAAAGTTGACAGGCTCTTTTCTCCTAGGAAAGTACTTGCTTTTTTTTGTTTTGTAAACTGTTTTCCTAGCACATACAGCAATAACTAAGTGCAAGAGCTTAAAAAAAAAAATCAATACACATTTGCAAAGTGATGGATTTTAACGAGGAAAAGAGATTGGGCTGTAGAATTTTATTCTGTGAAGGTAACGACAGCCCTTTTCTCTGACTGCAGATTTCCTTTAAGATCAACTCTTCCATTTTTCTCCCGCTCACTCCACACCTTCACTTTCCAGACATGTTAACTTTTCAAGATAAGCACCATATAAAGCACTGATTAATTGATAAATACAACATAAAAGCAAATCCTACTTGTTTCTATGCTAGTAAAAAAAAGGGGATATAAACAACTGTTATTTACCAAGATTTCTATTCTTTACCAAGATTTCTTAAGATGTACACAAAAGAAGCTTTCACACTTTAATAATAATCCAGCAAAACCTCGTGTTCCATTGCCGGAGGATTCAAGATAATTGGGGAAAGACTCATGCCATTCACAAGACATCCTCTTTGTAACATGGAAGACAGATAGCCAAATGCCAGCACTAGCAGCTCACTGGATTCTGTAAGCCAATCGCATCTAACAAGTATGTAATTAAGTGCAGATCTCCAAATATGCTGTTCTCCATCTCTCCCTACCCTTTCTGCGTCACCTGTGATGCTATCAAAAGAATTGCTTCTCACCATTCCTCTAACCCGCTGCAAAAACATCCACCAGTTTTAATCCAGACCTAATTACACAACAATGCCCACAAAATAGTTGATCCCAGGAGAGATTATGTCTCTCTTTTGCAGCATAGATGTGACACGTTTTCAGAGAAGGGAAGTATAAATAGCACACTGCCATATCAAAAGAAACTTAGCTCCTTTGGCAGCAAAGAAGGAAAATAACCAAGACTTACAGCTTCTATTCTAAGTATTGCAAACACTGACCTCATCAGCACCTTACCTGCTGCCCTTATTGACATGCCAGGCCAAAACCAAAAGAAATTCTACTACATGGGGCTTCCTAAGAGCTACAGGCTGCAGTGACATTCAAACTGATAGCACTAGGGAATTGCAAACGACAGCCTCAAGAGAAAAGACAATCTATGGTAAATCTCTTGCTGTTAGGACACATCTTATTGAATCAACTGCTACTCTGAGCCACAGACTGGAAGAAATAACCTGGCAAACTGAATAGAAGTGAGAAACAGGACTCAAAACAGCAATTTGCAGATAACAACATTTGCTGCACTGGCTGCAGTTCCTTTTCACTCAGACCTTGAAGGTTACTAGATTTTCCTGCCAAGAGCTGCAGAATCAAATCTACACCACAGACAAAATTGAGAAATCATTTCAGTTAGGTAGAGACTATTTCCCCTAGCTTAAAGCTAGTGTACATTATAGAAGTGAGGCTTTTGTTTATTTCTAGCATGCTCTAGACAGGCAGAAAGAAAAAGAATGTCAGTTAAGTTTCAGAAGGACTGCAATCAGGACACCAGCAATTAATTTCCTGGAAAAATTTCAAGATCATTCCAGCAAGATGCAAATACTCGTTACTCCCTGCAGTACAGTCAACTCTTCGTTAGAAATGAGTCCTACGAGCACAAAGGTCTCTTCAAAACAAGACGGTATTATCTTCAAAAAGCTTGGTTTCTGTAGCATCTTCTTTCCAGCCTCAGTTTGGGGCTAAAATTCACGTCCACCCAAGGCAAACAGACTTACCATGGTAACGAGGCCTTGGGAACTGCCCTGCTTGGACACAGCTGCCTGATACTTTGCCAGCCTATCCTTTATTGAAGTTTCTGTCAACCGAGGCATCTCTAGGCTTTTCTTGGTCTCTACCTTCTCTGGGCTGAGTGCTGGACTTCCATCTACAAGATGAAAAGAATTACATGAATAAAGAGTAACTTTCACAAACACCAACAGCACGTGTGAAAATTACAAACCCCATCCAGCGTGTCAGAAGTCCTTCAGTCACAGGCTCTAAGTCCTGTAATCTACCCAGCTAGTTTCAGAAGGAGCACATTCACCTGACAGATTTCAGTCAGTGGTCTCAGAAGCAAACAGCAGCTGCTACAGCAGCTAAGTGGAAATTCACATCATTGATGTAGAGGCACAGCTGCTAGTCTTCTAAAGAAGACAGAACACAAGGAAGAGTTTCACTTGCCACTTCCACCTTCTCCATGAAAATATTTACCACATGACATGTTAAAGATGAAGATTTCAACAACAAACATGTCATAAATTAGTTCAGTTTAGCCTCACTCATCCTTAGAAGCATCTGCATATGGCAGGAGGGACAAGAATTAAAACAAGGAAGACCCATCATCAATTCACTACTTATCTTCTAAATGAGATTGACTATTAAAAGTAGTCATAGGAATGACTGCTTTTATTCATTAATGCTAATTATCTCCTGTACCTCAGTTTCCCTTGCTTAAGGGGGCAATGTTTTAACACTCTCAGCAAGATTGAGTTAATTAAACGTGATGTTTGCATAGACTTTGCAAATGGGAGATAGTTACACTTCTTTCTACTTATGAAAGGCAAAATTTAATTCCATTGCATTGTATATAGTATTTCTCTATTATATAAACTGGGGAAAACAAACAAACAAACAGGGGGATTACTGACCTGATGCACTGTGACTCTTCTCTCCTTGGCCAACATCAAGGTCCTCTGAAGAGAAGCTGTTTTCAGAAATCCTCCTACCAATTGCTGTCTTCCTCTGGTCTCTAGCAACCTATTAGAGACAGAACCCACCTATCAGCTGCCTGGGCAAACAAAGACTGTTGCATTTAATCCTTTAAGATGCACAGGTGTCACTAGCAAATCTGCTTTACTAGAATAAACAAGTCTAGCAGGTGACATCTTATTTAACCAATATTAAGTTTGATCACAGAATACATGACCCTCTGTCACCTGGAAAACACTCTTGCGAAGAGGTTGGTTCTGAAGGGGTTGTCCTTCAGTAAGATACCTTGGTTGAAAAATCAGAAAACCACACGTGAGCTTTTTAGCCATCTACCACTGCAAGCACAAAACATCAGTCTAGATTTTTGCATCTCATATCACTTCTCATGAAATCATCGTTCAAAGTCATGTTATGAAGATTTAAAATTGAAAAGAATGATGAAAGGAGTAAGATAACACAAACCTGCATTGATTTTCAGCTACAGAAAGGAAAAAAATTACTATGGTAACAAAAGTTATCTAGAGCTATTTGCTTTGATTTGGATCTCTCATGCACTTGGTACCAAATAATTCCCTAATTAGGTCTGGTAAGGCTTAAGCTATAGAGTGCTAGAGATAAATATTCTCAGATAAACAGGATAATCACTATTTGCAAGGCTGCACTGGTGGGCAGTTTTGTAGTTACACCCCAAGTGTTGTGGCTGGCTCAATCAAATTTAAGGCTCATTTGTTGAGAGCAACTCCCCAAAACCTTGTGCTCAGTAAGAGGAATTGTGAAAAAAAAAAAATCAGAGCAGCTGAATGCTCACAAAATGCAGTATTTAATTGGACCTCATTGAAATAAGATGTCTTCACAGCTGACCGACAACATTCCAAATACTAGGAGGTGATAGATCTTCGTTATCTCCCTCCTTAGGAAAGGTTAAATCACAGAGACAGAAATTACTTTTGAGGCTGATGAGACAAGAAGGCAAGGCAGGTTTGGCAGGATGCTACAGCCACACATCCCTGCACCCCCACCTCCTTCCAACAACTTTCTTTATTTGCTGGTCACCAACCTGAAGGAAATTCCAAAGTTTTATTTTAACAGAACAGCACTGTAAGACAATCACTGTGAAAAATCAGGCTGCTTTGGCATACAAAACAGCACTTTACCAGGAAAGGAAAATGCAGCTGGAAAACTTTTTTTTTTTTTTCCATTAGCATGGGAAATATTTCTTATTTCTGTGGTTTAAGGCTTTGTTAACTTTTCTTACTGGAAAAGAGCTTAGCTATGACAAGCCTTTTCCTTCCACTGAGTGCGTTGATAGGCTCAGTTTGGGAGTGCCTGCACACTTGTAAGAACTTGCAGATTCCTTATTCTGAGCAAACTATCCTTAGATGATGATTCTTCAGCCTATGCCTGCTTTCATGTCACCTTCAGCCCACACATTTGAAGCTCTCACAGCTCAGAAATTGGCCCTTCAAACGGTCTAGGTTTTCACTAGCATACAGGAAATATTGTTATAGGCAAAATACACAGAAAGAGAAGATCCTATAAGGATAGAAAAAACAAGTTTATTATCCCACTTGACGTTCTGAACTAGTGAATTCAGATAAGCTGTGGCTGGTTTTTTTGTGTTATATGGATTGCATGCACTCTCTTGCAAACAGCAGGACTGATGAAGCTACAAATGGAACAAAGTTTGTAGTAGGGACACGCAGGAAGTTGAGCAGCTTTCACGAGGAAGACTCCACTGCTGGGGAACAAAAGTCTTAAGAAATTTAGATCTGGTGTCTGGGATTCCAACTTCACTGGAAGGAACCATTAGCATCTGTCTGGGGAAAAAAACAGTTAGAAATCCAGGCTGGGTAAAGCTGATGTTGTGTGGATTTTATATCAATAGTCTCACACCATTGAAGAAAAAAAAGCAGAGCAGTAAGTGAAAAATGTTTACCAAAAGGAAGGTGAGAGACTTTCTCCATTACCACCAACAGCCTGACCACAAGTAATTAGGCTGATTAGGGTGCATGGAAGGTAACACCGTTAGCATGAAGGAATCCCTTACTCCCAGGTTTAGGCTTATCCCACTCTGTTCCCTCTATAATTCTGGGTGGGCCACTATTCCAGTGCTGCAGCTTGTGCTGCTTGCAAAATGAAATAAAATATTCCTCATAGCTGGAAAGCCCCAATGTTCTAAGACAAAAGGAGTGCAGAGGTACCACAGAGTTAACAGCATTTCGCCTGGGGCACAAGGAGCTGTTGGGCAAAAGACCAAAAAGAAGTTACACCTATTTCATTATAGACAACTGTGTCAAACGTGACCCTGAGCATCAGGTTAAAAACACAAGGCATAATAAATTTTTACCTTAAAGGAAGAACACAAACCTACACAGAGAGAGCTTTTTAAATGAGCCTTGCAGAACTGCTTGCTCCTTCTTTTCTTCTGATCTTCCCTGGGTAGGTTTCTGCTATCACTTACAGGAAGAATTCTTTGAAATTGATAAAAGACTCGATGTTTGGCCTCTGCTTAGTGCTGAAGCAAACTAGACCAATGTGTTCAGAAGTATTTATACTTTGTGGAAGAAAATGATCTGCCTTATATCGAAGCTGTAGAAGACAGAGCAAAATCTGAACAAATAGATGAATAAACTGAGAGAGTTTTGCCCTGAAAATCGGAATAGGTTTGTGCAGAGTCTGTGATCAAGTCAGGAAGTCCAGGCAGTAACCTGGATTCTTGCCATGGACTTACCCAGCAACGAGGCAAGTTATTTTATCTTTGCTGCCATGAAGCTATAGCCATGTTGCCGCTTAGCTTATCCATATGTTTTTGTCAGGAAAGCTCTGGCAGTGCTTATACCGTAAGACTGAAGCAGATATCAAGGAAAATTACCATTTCTCAGGTGAAGGAAGCCTTGCTTGCACTTACGCCAGGATTTTATCAACCAACAGGGTTCAGGAAGAGTATAAATGGAAGAGAGAACTGCAGATCCTGCAAGTCAGTTCCTACCTCAGTGAAAAAGATCTGTGTCCCCACAGCGCTGAACTATCTTCATTGTACGTGACTACATGACATCATCCTCCAATCCCCAGATAAAATCCCAGAACCAGAAACCTTACAATAGTGCTTTCTAATCAGACACCCCTCCCCCCGACTTCAACTTCAGAGCCCTTCGTGCCTTTTCCCTTCCAAAATTATAAAGTAACCAGATTAACTTGGAATAGGAACAGGATTTGAACCTGACCTGAAGAACTTAATACCTACTGTATGATATTTACTGCATTCACTCAGATTTCAACCACATTCAAATGACTAAGCTTAAGAGAATTATCAGTTCCAGATTCAGTCATCTCCAAAACAATTTTATTCCCCAGGCTAAGATGAAATTACTTCACGTCCATCTGCAGAATGGTACTTTCCTGAGGAATCCTGACGGATTAATCCTCCAGCAGGAGTTCAGAGAAGTGCTATCAGGAAATCACCCCCCACCTCCCACCCTGCAAAACAGCCCTGATAGCACGGGTGGCTCTCAGAAAATGACAAAGGCTACAAAATCTAAGCCGTGCAATTATCATACACAGACCCCAAACTTACTTTACCAAAGAGCTGCCCCTCTGAATCTCTTGATACATGTTTTAAAAAACCTTTGTATGCATCTGCTAGTTTTATTCAACAGTGCAAGAAAATCACCCGCAGTAAAACAAAGCCAGAAGTATAGGAAAGTATGAGAAAACTGGAAACTCCACCAGCCTCGGGACTATGTTGCAAGTCAATGGCATATGCAACTCATTTTCTAGTTAAGCAATTCTCCCCCGGGACACACAGTCTGCAGTCCACATGCAGGATCAGATTTCATGAGCAGTTGTAGGAAAATGCAAGCCCTGTGCATTTGCAAGTCAAAACGAGTGAAGGCAGCAGCTCGTGTGGCGATCTTTGCTGCTTTATCCCTGCGAGGATTTTTTGATAAGAAGCATTTGTTAAGATACAAAGATGAGAGAAGAGAGAGGAAAAGACGGAGGTATTTCACAGCACTTCCATACACACAGATCTACATCTGGTTGTGTTGCACACGGATGCACACAAAGCTCTCCGCTCTGGCAGCGCATTCATCTCAGCTGCGGCTGCCGATAGCGTTGAGCTCTCTTCAACTTTTATATATAACCGTCTAGATTTTGACACAATTCATGTTTACATAACTCATCTTCACACGAGATAAACACTCCCTTCACGCTTTGAAAAAAAACTCTTAATAAATTCCACACATATTTTTCTCATCTTAAACGCTAACCTTCCATCAAAAGCAAATTCATCCCACATCTGCAGCGAGCAATCGACCAAGCGGAGCAGCACTGCACACGTATTTATGCAGCTCAAATAAGTTATTAACACAGCTATGTTATTTTTCAACTAAAACAATGAATACAATCGCTCAGTCAATAGCCCTGAGCCACTCCCTCCGGGGATTTTTCCCGATGCCCAGGAGGCAGCAGTTTTAGTTTCCCTTAAGATTTGCAGTCAGATCCTTACCTTGGGCTGAGCTGCTTCGCCCTTTTCAAACATCATCTTTAACTTGCTGAGCGGAACGCTGTACTTCTCTATCTTCCCTGAAGACTCCGTGTTTTCACTGGCTTCGGGCTTTTCCACTTCCCTGGGCTCTCTCAGATAGTTTTCCATTTTACCACTCTCCGGTGAGTGGCTTTGAGACTTTCTGCTGTCAACACCGGGACACTGCAGCTGGCCAGAGGTGCCAGAAGAGGCCTGGGAGAGAGATGCTGTGCCGGCTGCCGGGATCTGCTCTGTGTCTGAGGAAAAAGCAAGGCTGCTTCCAACTCCCAGCTCGGGGCTCTCGACCCTGTGCCCACCCTCAGCACAGCTGCTTCGGAGCGTTTCCTTCCGAGACTCCGTTCCCGGCACTGGATTCTCCCACTTCTTCTTTAGTACGCTCAGATTCCCTCTCTTAAAATGAGGGGGAAGATTTTCTGTGCTCTGAAAGAACAAGAAGTTAAATTCCAGTTATGTGCCTGATGAAGTACTTCCTTTCTATGAGAAAGGAAGTTAAAGGCTCGGTACTGATCTCAGCTCTCTGCTTTTTCAGACAGCTGTGAATAGTTACAACTGTGCCACATGGAGAAAGCATCCAGGATAGGAAAGGAAGGAGGGGGGAGAAGAGAAAAGTCAGGAGCTAAAGCAGGAAGTGAGCAAACAGGATGGCCTTATAAGGAAAAAGGGAGTCAAGGTCTAATGAGTTAAATGACACACAAAAGGCTCGAATCCACACATGAAGGGAAGGGGACCCAAATCCACATAACAAGGGTCTCTAGTCCTGGAACAAACAAACAACAGCAGCCACAGAGATGTGTGGTGTGCCAAGAGTTGCAACGTCTTCCAGCTGCTTCAGAAGACAACAATTAATAACCCTTCCAAAAAGCCACTGATTAGCTTCCAAAAACCAGAACTTTTTGATCTTTTGCATTTATGCTAGCACTAAACAGAAGCATTTCACTTTACGACAGATCTGGCTTCAGCATTTTGTACCACGCAGAGCAAGGCTGAAGCAAGGCACAGACAAGATATTTCTGTTTGCTCCCATTCATAAATACCAGATCGTTTGCTGGACTTTCTCTTCTGCTTCTCTCAACACACTGAAAGCTCTAGACAGGAAACATTCACACAAAGCACAAGTGCTGCCTTACCATTGTGAGTTGGATGGTAATACATGGAGAACATTCAAATGCTTTCCAAATTAATTGTGCTCATAAGCAGTTACCTCTCCTCAGAGAAACAGGCCAGCACACATTTGATTCATTCAAATCTATTACCTGCCAGCATTGCATTTTTGCTGTCCCTCCCTTACGGAGTCCACTGTGTATCAGACTCATTGCAAGTGGAGCAGGTCTGCAAGGCTTACAGGAATTAAACAGGATTAGCAGCTATATTAGGATTTAAGTCTCTCACCCCATTACTCTTCTGGTCACATTTTGAACACTGCTTTGCAAATTAACTTGAATCCATCTAGGCTTCAAAAAGATCAGCTCACTTGCTAACTGTACTTAAAAGAAAGTACTAAGGTTGTAAGGCAAATGTTGTAGTGGAACAGAAGTACTCACAACTGCACAGCAGGTTTCCACCTCTGGATATGAGACACACTGCTAGGAAGCCCAGGCATGCTTTATAGCCCCAGTCATTTTTGCTTGGGACTTGCCTATTCCTGATCATAGAAGCAATGAAGTAAACTTAAGACTGGGGAATAATTTTTAAAACGCTTATTTTTATCACTCTTGTATCCCAGAGAGAAGGAAAATGACTTCTGAAGCATTACAGAGATCAAGTGAGCATGCTCCAGCAAAAACATACCTATATATCCTGTAAATATTGCTGGTCTTTTAAAATGAAAATTAAAAGGTCTGCTTGTGAACACCTGGTCTTCCATCAGCGTCTCCTGACCCCATGGCAGTAAGTGCAGTGCAGTGGGAATGCAGGGCTCTAGCAGAGCCGAAAATGATGGCTCTCCCACATTCAGGGACAGTTTGAACTCTGTACAGCATTTCAGAGAAGATCCCTTAACGGATTCTGCAGTTATCAACGGGATGCACGCTAGATTTCAGAGAGGCTGGCAGCTTCTTTTTAAGCAGACTTTTAAATTTAGTTAAGAAAGGAAGAGGTACCACATAACTGCCTACAGCTAAGAACAAAGAGGTTGTGGTTAGAAATGACAGCCAACTCGTTCTGCCTTTTGCTTAGGAGTGAACTGGTGATTCAACATATAGCTTTGGGCAAGTCACTTGATTTTCTTTCCTTTCATTCACAGTCTAAAGAGAAGAAGGAAACGAGTCAAAGGCAGACACTGTGTCTGAGTTTTCTGCAGGATGCACAGCAACAGTTTTGATATTTCCAAAATAGACTGCCACGGGAACGCTTCATGCAGGTGATCCATTCTGGTTGCAGGCTGTTGCTTATTGCCTAGGAAACAGATACTTACATTTCTTTTTTTCTCAGCCGTGGCTTCTTCAGCTGCTTTCTGATACCTTTGGGATACAGGAAGGAGAAAAAAAACAAAAACAAAAAAAAACACAACAGTTTTAAACTAGAATATTGAATGATCATGAAAACGGCTGAGATTTCACTTCCACATGGAACTCTGTGCACTTACCAGACCCACCAAATAAAACCCAAGGCTGGAAACAACAGTAGTGAATAGCATCTGAACAGTGCGAAATGACAGACACGTTTTAAGTCATCCTGCTTACAGTAATAACACGCAGTGATAATTTTTATTAGCTAAGCACTCTCATTCTCAAATCTAGGCAGTTTACCTTGGAATAGCTGTATTGTTTCTCCCACCCAGCTGTCTGCTGTGTCCCCTCACAGGAATATTGCCTCAGCTATTTATACAGCAGCTGCTGAACCGTAACAAATTACAGCTTGGCATACAAGGAAAATCTACATAAGTGCCAGTTTATCATACTATGCTGGGTGGTAAACTGCACCAATTCAGCAGTTGCTTCATGAGCAGCTGAACCACCCCAGCAGTGGAAACGTTAATCACAGCCCTGTGAAGATAAGCTACCCTGGATCATGAATCAAAGTCCTTTAAGAAGCTACAGAAAACTCCCAGCAATCTGCATGCCACTCTGCTGGGACAGAGCACACCGACCTCACTGATGCTGCACACAGTGACTGCACTTTGCTTGCGAAATGCACAAATTAATCTGATGAGACACATTTTGCCATTTGTAACCAAAGCTGTGCTTTTCAAAGAAAAGAATCATCCCTCAACATGTTTCTGTTTTTCTTATCCGTGGGTCTTTCTTATCTGTGCAATTCTGCTTTTGATAAAGCTACGAATATGCTACAGGCCATAAAAATGAGTCACTAATACTGGAAGTCATCAGCTTCAGGCTTCAAATAATGGCTGGTATCAAATCAAGAACTAATGTCTATCAGGGGCTCTAAGAAAAAAAAAAAAAAAGCCCCTTAGAAGGACCAGGTTCTTCGTAAGGAAAAAGAAACTTACACACAAATACCTGTCTTACAGCTGATGAACCTCAATGACTTTGTTTTCCTTCTGTGAATTGCGTGCTCCTATGTAGGTTTCTCCCCTCCTCATGCAGAAGAGCAAACAGATTGCATCTTGTTTGTTGCTGCTCTACAAATTGCATTTACTGCACAGACTGAAAGCTGCTGAAGAATTGTAGCTGGCCCCCTTTAATTCATAGAAATCTATTAACCTGTGTCTTGTATACTGCAGAGCTGCCAAAATTGGAATGAGACACGCTGAGAAAATAAGTTTATGGAGGAATAGAGATCAATACTACTGGGAAAATCAACAGAGGCACGGGGATGAAAATGCAAACTGGAAAACATAAACGAGGACTGAAAAGTTTCAGGCAGCACTCAGTGCGTCAGCCCACCGCAGCGCACTGTTCAAGTTCCTGCTGTTGCAAATTTGCATGTCTCTGACCTGGCAAAACTGATAATTTAAACACTACGGGGATTAAAAAAATATTTCCACGTACAAATATTTAGGTAATGACAATTTAGACAAAAACACTCCTCTCTGTCAGTGCCAGAGTTGGCAAAGCCAGTAAGCAGCGCTGTGTTTTTGCAAGGAACTGACACTGCTTATGTAGAGGGACTCCACTTGATTAAGGAATAGCAGTTTGGATTACTTCCAATAAGCCCTTTCCAAAGGATTACCAACATTTAGCAAGATGACTAGGTTCTGTAATCAAGTTTCAATGAGTGAATAAATTACCTTAACGAGACTGGTCAAAGCAAGCAGCTTCTCCTAGGACAGGGTACTTACAGAGCAACATCTCTGTTTGTGTAAAGTCCAGAACGTAATTATCCTTCCTCTGTTGACTCCAGAAAGTTTCTCCCATTCTCAAGATTTAAATAAAACATTGCTACACTATTAATGCAAGTCTGGATCACTTGGCTGCCCAGCTCCCACGTTAACTGAGAATCCCATACAGCTCATGAAGCTGCAAAATCCCATTTCTGATGAAGGAAAGTCCATCAGCAGTGCTGCCTACACTCCAACACCATACCATAAGAATCTAACTGTAATCACACACTTTCTGACAGCAGAAAGAAGAGATTATAACTCTGATATTTGAAACAATGTCAGCACCTAAAAGAAGCTTTGCACAGCATATAGTGAGCCAGAAACTTAAATGCCCACAGAGCAATATTATTTTAGAGAAGCAAAGCAACTGTCAGTGAAGCAGTAATTGTTCAGTATCTCAGCTTTAACCTGACTGTGCTCGGACTCCTCGCAGTGCTTACCTGGAGAACCTCTCCACGAGAGCTGATGACTTATTTTTGTTGACGAGAGAAAGCTCTTTTGCAGTGATTTTCAAAGACTGAGAAGTCCATTGTCTTCTATTAAACGGGGAAGGCTCCATCTTATCACCACAAACACCTACTGGGAAGAAAGCACAGTGTCAGTCAGTATGACTTATATGAGCAGAAAAGTAGCTCCACAGAGTGATTTGATCATCACCATTTGAACTCAGTTCACGAGATGCTGATCTACTCGTCCCACCAAGTGCTGATCATCACGTCCATCAACTGACCAAAAAATACCCCTCAGCATCAGATTAAAGTCACAATTTCCTCTGCAGAAGCCATTGAGATGCTGCCCCTGATAAAACACCAGCCACAATGGGGCAAGAGATAGGATGCAAACCAGAACATGAGCAAGAAGCAGGCTGTGACTGAAAGGGATGCTGACGCGAAGCTCTGACTTTCCTTTACACCCACAGGCTCCAGGAAGCCCTGCTATGCCCTCTCTTGTTCTGCTTTCTGAACCAAATGCTCTGGCATTTATGTAAGAAGGCTTGAGTTATGAAAGCTAAGAGGATGTAATTCCTATGCAAACATTTTTCATTCACTGGTGGTGCTCACTCTTCACGCAGCAGCCGTTTCCTCTGTGAGCCAACATAAGTCTTCTGTTCACAGAGGCAGCTGTAAATCTCTTGTCACAATAGCTAGCAATTACCTAAAGGAATCGTTTTGATTACTTTTGCCTTGCTGTAAACTGGAAGAAATTTTGTACAGCTTTTCACAACAGAAGTCGACAGTATCAGATATATATATATATATTTATTTTTATTTTTTACATAGTTTTCTTTTCTGGAGGAGGAAAGGAGGGGAGATTAATTTAAAGAGTTCCTTGATAAGACAAAAATAAAGCTTGTGAGGCAACGCCTTTCCTTTTTTCCTATTTTCTTTTACCCCAGCCTCGTGTCGCACAATGCCTGCAGCAAGTGCACTGCCTGAGCCTGCAGTGCTGACATCAGAAAGGCTGACCTCTTTCCCTTTTTCCATCCGTTTTTTAGCTGACCATTAGGCTACAGAACTCCAGAAATCTGAGTCTTTAAAAGGCACCTTAGGAACTTGATATAAACAGTAAAACGTAGGGATGATCATCTGAAATCCTCACACACATATAATGCATCAACAGCATCAAAGATTAGGGATCCTGCAGCATCTCAGTCCAAAAGAACTCAGCTGCAGCAAGTGAAACCTCACTGATCTCATGCGAAATTGAGGCAGAAGAACTGAACCAATGCTGACTGGAGAGAATGGGTCTGCAAAGTGCCAGCTGGAAGCAGAGGAACCACTCCATGCTGCACCCTGCTGCTGTGCAGAGATAAAACACGCAGCTGATGGACACCTCGCTGCCTGGTGGAACCCTCAGGAAGAATGGGACTTTCTCTGAGACTCCTTTATTCACCTGATGTAATGCAAGGAATGACACACCAAGCCAGCACATGTTTTTCAAGATCGTGATTTAGATGGTGCTTTTAGATGTACAGCTTGAACTATCATGGCAAACCAGAAAAGTTACACTATTTTGGTCGTGGTGTTGAAACACACTGAAACTACTTATCAGCATTACGTTTCCAGTCGCAGCTTGCTGCAGCTTCAGCCTCACATCTCCCACTGAAGGCAGCCTCCAAAGTGCAGCCATCGCCCCTTCCAACAAGAGAAACTCAGACTGAAGAGTTACTTTTTGAAATTCATGGTTTCCAGAAAACGTTTTGCATCCCTAAACCACCTCTTCTGTTACCCTGAGGAGTTCTGTCAGGACTGAACAAGAGTAAGGATGCTCTCTGGTTTCCAGATCTAAAAAAGCTGTCGCTCTGTACCAGCTGCACAAATGATCATCCACAAAGATAATGGTTCTAATTCAAATATGAGGGGTGCTCAACATCCTCCCTTGTTAACAAGAATACCTCACATGCAAATAAATCAGCATTTCTGTGATGACAGGACAGAGCCCCTGCTATCGCTGTAGCAAACACTTGGCACAGAGATTCCATAAAGGCACGAAATCCATCCACAGAGATTGCAGATCAAATTTACTCCTGAAAAATGCATCTGCTGAAAAAGAAAAAAAAACCTCCGAGCCAGCTGTCTAATGCCACAGCTTCAACTTCTGTTTGGTGATTAATCTGGAGCCAAGAGAAGATCATCTGAAGCCCCACTTTGCAGTTCAAATCACCAAACAGGAGTCAGTTCTGCACAGGAAACAGTAGCAGGGCATTCATTAGAAGCCTCTCTTGGCAGACAGCAGCTTGCTGACTGACGTGCACCTTACACGGAAGGACAGTTGCAGTAAAACACTGAGAAAACAAAATCTAGTTAAATTGTGCAGAAAAATGGGCCTTAATTTGATACCTAAGCAAGGAAGCCTTCAGCAGTCACTGTTTGCGGATGAATTTTTCCACCACTGTGTTACTGTTTGGTTTCCTCACCATTTGCTGCCTTACAGCCACAGGTGCACCAGGACGATCAGCACCGTTCTGGCAACCTCCCTGTGCAGAAGCAGCAGCCGCTGCTGCGACATCGCATGGGAAGTTAAGGAGCATTCATTCAGGCTCAGCTGCTGCGAGGGACACGAAGCAGGACTCCGAGATGCCCAGAACCGTCCTGCATTTCCAGCGCCATTCCACGCTTTCAGCCCCATTCGCTTTCAGTTTCATCTCATTCAAACACCTTTGTCCTCCTTTCGCTGAAGAATTATTCCAACCCACGTCGGGAAAGAGCCCTTTGTTGTACGATCTGAATTTAAACAAGATCGGGAGCATTCTGCGCGCTGCCACAGTTATGTTAAAGACGGAACGGAGTCCCGAGGAGGAGGAGGAGGGGAATCTCGAGTCCTGTAAGATGCCAGGGAGGGAAGGGCTGCAGTGCAGCCCATACAGCAGCACAGCGTGGGACAGAAACCACCCGCGTGGCAATGGCCCGAAGGAAAACTGCTTCGTAGCGACCACCCCACAGCCCGGAGCAGCGCTCCAGGCACCTGCATCTAAGCGAGCGGCACCTCTTCGACCTGCACCCACGCAGCACCTCTCTTCCTTACTTTTAACCCGCCTGCCTCGCTCCCTCTCCGCTCCCCGTGCTGAGCTCCGCGACCACCCGACCCCGCTGCCACCGGCCGGCACCGTGCAGGCACCGCCGGGCTCGAGGAGGGCAGCCCGAGAACAGCCGAGAACAGCCGAGCGGCCCGCCGACTCCGCACCGCCGGACCCCGCAGCCCAGCGCCCGCTCACAGCCCGGCCCGGACCCCCGCTGACAGAGCCGCAGCGGGCAGAGCGCCCCCCTCCGGCCCGGCGGTCTGCGCCCCCCCGCCCTCCTCACGCACCTGCGGCGGCCGGAGGCGCTCCCACGCGCACACCTGTCGCGGGCGCGGTAACAACTGCACCTCCGCGCCGGCGGCGACGCCGGGCAGCAGCGCTGGCCACGCCCCTCGTCCATCTAGACCACGCCCCTCGTCCCTTTAGGCCACGCCCCTCCGCCACAGACCACGCCCCAATCTGTACTGGGAAAGGGGGGGGTGTTTCTTCATCCAGCGCATGCGCAGCTCGGCTCTTCGCAGGGTGTTCTCCACGCGTGCGCGACGGTCGCGTTGTCGCCTCGAGCCGAGGGGGCGGAGTGGGGCTGCGGTGCTGCGGGGTCGTTGATGGGGGTCGGGGTCGGGGTCGGTACGCACAGCACTCAGCAGCGCAGGGCTGCCCTCGGGGCTCAAAGCCCGGAGCCGAGAGGTTGCGTGGTGCTGCCGTACCTGGAGAGCGCCGTGCCGGGACGAGGAGCGGCTGTGATGGGGTCCCGCAAAACCTGAGTGTGTTTAAAGGCAAAAAAAAAAAAAAAAAAAAAAAAAAAAAAAAAAATTGGTTTTCAGCAGCCCGACTTGATAACCCGCATTCCTGAGATGCTGGGCGTTTATGCATCTTCATTAGCGTGACACGAGCCTGAGTCTGCAGCCAGAAAGCGGCTCCTCCAGATGTTTATCTGATCAGTGCACTTCAGGAATTGCTGTAGGTGCCCTTTCATTTGTTTATTCATTTTTGTTCTTTCTTACACCCTCTCTATCGTTCCTACTGTGTGAAGTGTGAAATCCTTGAGTTAAAATGCTGTGTCCTCACTCCCACAGGCTGAGAGCTCAGTGAGGCTCTCCATCCCCAGCTCTGCCCAATGCTCAGCACAGCTCCGTGCTGCAGAGCTGCTCGCACACCTCCCCACCCACCCACCCCGGCCAAGAAGCAGGAAGCAACGAGTTGGAATTGATAACTGGCATTGCTTGCAGAGTAACCTCAGCCGTCAACACGTGAAATGTGCTCTTTCCAGTGAAAAGCACGAGTGTTGGCCTAGAAAATACACACAGCTCAAATTATGGGCTTTGTAACTTCACCAAACGGCGCAGCAATTTGTGCTGGAGGCTCGGAGGTGCGTCCAGGTGGAGCAGATGTGAACTCTGCTAAAGAGTGTCAGATAAACTCTGTGTGGTGCTATGAAAGGCATGGCTTGCACAGGGAATGGCGTGTTTGCTTTGGTGATGTCAGCAGGGCACTGCAGGCACGGCTCAGCTGCTTCTCAGAGCTGCTGCTGCCATTCCAGACACCGGGATGTCCGTGCAGACATGGAACCACCGTGGGATTGAGCCCCTCTGGCCTGGCCTTCCTTCCTCTGGTGCTAGGGATGCTGCAGGACACCAGTGACAAATAATGTAGGAAAACAGTCAAACTGCACACGTGAGACAGCTTTGAGCCCATGCCACACGTGCAGCTTCCCTCTCTGCAGTGGATTCTGGAGCCGAGCTCAGCAGAACTCCTGCAGGATTGGAGTCTAAATGAGGCCATGCTGTAAAGTGAGGCACAGCAGCGAGGAGGGGCTGAGAGGGAGATGAGTGCAGCAGTTAGGAGATACCACGATGACTTAATTAGTTATGTGCAAGGTTTGGGGGATTGCATTGGTTGAGCTGGGTCTTCTTCCCTCCAGCATCCTGAATGTGTTAGAGAGGTTAAAGGGTGCATCGTTGCCCTTTAGCAGCCGTTTATGTGCCTGCTGTTGCTCATAACTTTCTGTAAAACCTTTTAAAGACGTTGGTAGTTTCTAGTTTTCTGTAACAGCAGGTTCCAGATGTGTCAAAAAGTGCTTTGTCCCCACAGCTGATCTTGCAGTTGTAAAGTGTTCTTCTGTAGGCAAATTTGGTGAATACAAAGTCTGCACTTCCTTGTTCTTCCAACCTCACACCTTTAAAAGCCTCACTGAGATCCTTCTAAGCCTCTTCTGTAAACTGAAGAGTGAATCCCAAGAATTTTGGTAGTTCCAAAATCTGCTCCCTGCCCTCCTCTGGACCCTCTGTACCTCCATCACATTCTTCTGTGCTGCTGGGACCGGAATTGCTCCAGCTGTGAGCAAAATGAGGACTTTTCTAACAGCAGAGATGAGGACTTTGGCCTCACCATGGTGTCATTCTTGGAAACAGCCAACATTCAGTTGGAGCTTTTGGCTGCTGTTGTACCCTGAGGGGTGGCTTCAGACAAGTGTCCATGGCAATGCTGTGCTCTCCTTCCCGAGCTGCAGCTGGCAGCTCTGAGCCCAGCAGACACTGAAAAAGACTGGAGTGTTTTCTGGTGTCTTTGTGGTTTAGTAAGAGATTGTAGTGAACTGCAAGGAGAAAGGCTGATGAGTCAGAGAGAAACAGCCAACATATTCCAGGAGAATAATCTCAGGTGTAATTATTAACAGGTTTGTGTTTTATTTAACAGGTGTTTGGTGTTTTCTGTTAATGCTTTTTTTAAAGGTACAGCATCTTCTCTAGCATTATTCATAGAGCATTATTTATCCTAGAGAGGAGAGTGCAAACAACTTTTATTTTGTCTTTTCAGCATTCTCTTCTTGATGCTCCACCTGAGGGTTTCTCTCTCACTGCAGCAGAACTGAGGGAATCTGCATCCTCTGCCTGGTTTCTCTGATTGCTGGAGCTGCTGAACTTCCTACAGAAGAGGCCCAGCAGCAGCAGGTAGGGTGAGGCAGCTGCTGAAGAAACTCAAAGGTACGGACAGTGCCTGAACACCCACGTGGCTTTTTTTTCTTTTTCCTCCACCCAACCAATGAACTTCATGTGACCCCTCCCAGCAGCACCACTCATTTGTTTAATCAGCGATTAAACTGGAATTTTACTTCACTTCCAAACACGCTCTATCAGTCCTTACATTCCCTTCCATTTATTTATTTGTTTTGAAATAAAGGGAAGGCAGCAGAAAAATACATCATTCCAGCAGCGTAGCATAACTTAAAGGAGAGACCATCACAGATGTGGTGACTGGGACTGAGGAGAGGCTTTAAGCCCTACAGCAAACTGCTGTTCCAGAAAGGCAGAAGGTAGGACCCAGTATCTCTTAGGCATCAGTCACAGCACAAGTGCCCTTGTTGGCTCCTGCAGTCCTTTCCAAGCTCTCCTTTAGGCACAGTTTAAGACTCCAGGTTTGCTTCTTTCACACAGCACGTGTCAGCACCACAACAAAGAAAACCAAGCAAACCACACCCAAGTGTGAACCCTGCAGGTAAAGTGCAATAAAAAAATGAGTGCTGGTATCTTGCGAGATCAGCGCAGATTTCTTTTCTTCCTTGTTGTGTTTCTTTTTAAAAATGCTGCTTGTTTTCATCAGTGAATGCAGAGCTCACTACCCCATGATTCTATGAGCTCTTTTCTGAGTAGAAACAGCAAACTTAGACCCCATCATTGTGCAATTGCAGCCAAGCTAGCTTTGCCCCTTCATATTTGCATTCATTAGCATTTTGTTTGCCTGTAGTTTGATTGCCCAGTGGTGTGGGATCCTTTCCTGACTCTTTCCAGTCAGTCTGGATGCCCTGAGTAGTTCCGTATCCATATCACAAATAGATTTCTCACTTCACTGTTTACTTATTTTCCAGCTCACTGCTGACTGTTGTACAATTTGGGCCTCTGCACAGATGCATGCTTTGTTATTGCTCTGCACATCAGAGGTTTATAAAGCGAGTCTGTAGTTATGGTGTGACTTGGTGTGCCCAGCACAGTGCAGACCTGCACAGATTAACTGATTTTATCCATCTCCCTTCTGAAGCTTATTGGTTGCTGTGAGGCACTTTGGATTTGATTTGGCTGCTGAAAGGTGCAATTGCTGATCTGGCCACTGAAGAATCATCACCAGCGCATCTGCTGGCAAAGCAAAGCACCTCCTTTCATAGAAGCTGCTGAGTCTCAGGCGCCTTCCCCTAAATAGGGGATTTTTGGTGGAGTTAAACATTAACACCGTTCACAGTTCCCATCTGTTCAAGGTCCGAGAGAGAAGCAGTGCTGAGTCAGCCTGGCAGCTGTATTTCCTGCTCCGGTTCTCTCCTTCTGTGTGATTCACTCAGTCCAATTCCCTGCCAGGAAGTCTTGGTCCTGGGTGAGCAGTAAGAGGCAGAGGGAGGCTCCTGCTGTCCTGCACCAGGATCCTGGAGATCAGCTCCTGTGTGTCCTGGCTGCCCTGCAAGTAATGTTGGTGCTGCAAGGAAAAGAGGGAAACTCACAGTCACCAAAAGACTTGCTTGAGCTATTCAGGACTTTTCTTTGGCTGTTAGCAGTGCTGTGCTTTTGCCACATGGCACTTTTCCTTCCAGGCAGCGCTGGACAATGGCTGTGAATGCACGGGACAGCTTATTGTTTGGCTGTGTATGTTGCTTTTCTATGGGCACTTGAACTAAAAGGGTAAATCCTTTTAACTGTGGTGTTTTCAAGAGAGCTGCACGTTAGCTGGGAAGGAGGGTGGGCAGATGAGAAGAGCTGTTTTATTTAATATTGCTGCCACAGTAGAACACTCCAGCACTGCCAGGACTTTGGGCGTAGCCAGTCTGACATGGGAAACCGATTGTTCAGTGCTGTTGCCTGGCTGCTGCTTGGAGCTGCAGCTGTGTGCTGCCTGCCTGGTGCTGAGGGTTGGAGTCAGCCCCAGCAACTGCTGCTCATCCACTTGGAGAGGCACCGATCCCACGCTGGTGGGTTTGGTTCTGCCTGGACAGCATTCAGTTTGCTTCAGCACCGGTGGCAGTTTGTGAAAACTGCAGGATCTGCTGAGCTCAGACCTGCAAACAGAGCCAAGAGTCTCCCTGGCTTTGGATAAAACTTTGCTGTGGTTACATGGATCATGTGATGGCGCAGCTGATCTTTCCAGCATTCTGTGCTTTAGGCTTCCTCAGCTGTGCAAAGAGTTCAAAAAATTGTCCCCCTGATATAACTGCTACTTACTGATACAGGATTGTCTTCCAGGCGTTGTTGAGGAAACTCCTCTGCCTGCATTCCTGTTTAGCAGAGACTCCTTCCCAGCATGCCAGCCCATCCACAAAGCCTTCATCATCCTCAGCTGTGGGATTTCTGAACAGATGCAGCTCTTCCCTGCAGCACAGTGGTGCTCCCTTCCCTGCTCAGGACAGTGTGCCACGTCGGTCAGTTCCTCAAGAGCTTTGGCTCTCAGAATCAAGTGAGTTAAATCAGATCTAAGCTGGACTCTGAGTCCTCTTCAAGACATGTTGACAGAGAAATGTATGCCTTGAAACAGCTTGAAAAGAAGAACTGTAGGGAGGGAGGAGAGCAGGAAAAGGCATCGGCTGTGAGCGGCCGCCCTCTCCTGAATCTCTCCCCCTGCAAAGAGTGCAGCCCTGGCTCCTCTGTGACCTCTTTCTTCCTGCAGAGTAATGAAAGTCAGCACGCTGTAATGGCAGGCTGAAAGTCAGCTGCTCTGCCACAGGGTTAGTCCTCCAGATAGATGAAAGGAAAGTGGTTTGGTGTCCAAACGACTGTCACAGCTTTAAAGAAGAATTAAAGC